GTCATTACCCTCATTCGCCTCCTCACTCTAAATGGCGCAAAGAAGCAAATGTAATGTAATGTAAGCGCCATCTGGACCGAAAGCTTGATCGCACTTCCTACCGACGTTATTCAACTTGAGTAAATGCAAAATCTTACTCAGCCGGACAGGCAAACTTGTCAAACTCAACCACTCAGCTACAAGTCCTCCCAGCAAACAGACCCTGGTCAACCACACACAATGACCTTCACGGAGGACCTCATCGCCTCAGACCCGGAAGGCTACCGCCTCGCCACGCAGTCCTCCTTCCTCACCGCCGCCGCCGCCGGCACGTGCTCAAAGACGCACCTGGGCTACTGGCTCTCCAACGACAGGCTGTACATCCATTCCTACATCCGGGGCGCCGGCCGGCTGCTCAGCACCGTCCACCTACCGGATCTCGTTCCCGACGACCTGACGACGACTCAAAAACTAATCATCTGGCTCACCAACGCTCTGGTCAATATCAACCGCGAGCTGGGTTTCTTCTTTAAAACGGCGGCCGAATACAGCCTCGAGCTCGACCTGCCCGCCAAGGACGGCGTTGTCGAGCCGACCGCCAAGCTCGAGGGGCTGCACCGGTTCGAGAAGCTTTTCGCAAGCTTCGAGACCGGGGAGGAGGTCCTGCCGTGGCTCGAGGGCGCGGTGCTGTTCTACGCGACGGAGAAGTGCTACCTGGACGCGTGGACGGGCGTGAAGGATGCGCTGGAGGCGGGTAAGGACGGCAGCGACGATGCGGATGGCGGGGCGCTGAGGAACGCCTTCATCCCCAACTGGACGAATGACGACTTCTGGCAGTTTGTGAATGCGATGAGGGTGACCATCGAACATGGCGTCGCAGAGGCTGTGGACGCGGGGAAGGCGAGCGAAGAGGAGTTGAAGAAGCGCGCGCTGGCGGTTTGGAACCAGGTCCTGCTCGCTGAGAAGGAATTCTGGCCCGACATGACGAAAGAATATCTTGGAGAGACAGAATCATAGGTAATCAAGTTCAGTGTGTGAGTCCAACACTTTGTGTCATTACCAAACGAATTAAAACAATCATTAAGCTCGACTTTGACCAAGGAGGCCCCCTTTCCAGCCGCACCACGTTTGTATGGTATTACCGCGGACCCAACGCCATCGCTATGCTTTGATTAAACAGAACCACGTTTCATTCTTCTCCTTCCAAATAGCCGTGTCAACTAAACCGCGATTACTCGAGGCGACCGGTCGGGGTTGTTGTTACCATCTCCCACGTTACTGCTCTCGTCTTGCGGGAGAGGAACGGCCGACATGGTGCCAACTTCTGGCGGTTCAGCCGTTACGACAAGACTCTCGGAAGGAGCATCATTTTCCTCGTCATCCGTCTCAGATACTTCTGTCACCGTGCAAGTGAACGCAGCCTTCTCTACTTTGGGTGTCTCGTCGTCGTCTACAGCGATGTCGGTGCTTGCAGGAATCGCTGCCTCCAATTCAGCGACCTCGGATGTTGGAAAAATGTTGGGGTCGACGCAGTCGTAGAACAGCATGAACACGTTGTGTTGATCCAACAACTCTTCCTCGTCAATCTTTCTGACGCTTTCGTCGCTTAGGCGCCACCAATCCATCTCCACATCGGCCACATCATCCTCGGAGGTAGGCTTTTGGACAGGAGAGCTCGCACCGTCACTGTCGTCCTCGCCTTGATCTTTGGTCTCGCCAGCCGAAGGAGGCGCATTGCGGGGAAACTTTCGGTAGCAGACGTAGTGGCCGTTCTCGTGCCGACCATAATGTGTGACGACGGCGCGAAGGTCGTATATGGGTCCAGTGATGTACGACTTGCGCTTGTCACCTGCGATCATAGACGCTCTTGGGTCAAGTAGCCATTGCTCCTCGTCAGACGCATCGCTGAGAGCTGGAGATGCTGATCCGTCCGCTGGCTTGCCCGTCGTTGGCTTGGGGGCGCTACCCAAACACCATGGGCCAAGGTCCAGTGTTAATGGGAAGCGAATTCCTGCAGAGTTCTTGTACATCATGCCGGTGTTTTCGTCAAAAACGGATCTGTTCATGTGTACAGCAAGACTTTGAGGCGGGCGCGCAATCACTGCTTGCTTCGTCTTCGTCGAAGACACCTTGAAATTGGCCGGGAACTTGCACTTCTCTGTGAGTGTCTTGTCCTCAAAGTCGTCCTCTTCCAAAGCTTCTTCCACGGCTGCCAATCGCGACCTCGGCTCCTTCAACTTTTCTTCACTCGTAGTTCCCGCGGCTCTGTCGAGGAGTACCGTTAACAGTCTTTTGGCCTTCAGCAAAGTGCACTTGCCGCACTCAACACCTTCGATAGACTCGATATGCGCATACGCGTCCAGTAGTTCGTAGAGATCGTGGTCGTTGCCGTCCGTATTCAAGCTCAGCGTAAGACAATTGAATGGAATCATGGAGAGGCCGTCGGAGTGGCCGCACTCTACGCATGCAACTCGCTGCGCCGTCAGGCCTTCCAGGGGGTTGCGCAAAGATTTCGATGCGGAGCTGATCTTGGAAATAGTGGACAGGCTCTGGTAACCGCTATCATCGCTGTGTTGGCTCGTAGCGGTGTCGTCGTTGGCGCAATCCGACTCGAACCCAGACAGCTTCTGCGTCGCTTTCGCGACCTTGGCAATCTCCTTGTCGACCTCGTCGAGAAGTTTTGAAAAGTACTCCTGCGCGTCCTGTTGTTGCCAAGTGCTCATGTTCTTGAGAGAGCCCGGCGTCCATAACGTCTTTCCGTAGTTTCGAGCGCTGTTCAAATCTTCGATAAGGTTGCGTAACGTATCGACTGCCTCAACTTTCTGTCGATCGAGTTCGGGGTCTTGGACGGGGTCGGCGAGGTATTTAGGTAGTGTTTTCAACGAAGCGAGGCCTTGAAGAATACTGTTTTGGTAGCAAGAGTTGTCGAGATTTCCCAGTCCTGGAGGATGATCGCTGAAGCCCTTAAAACTCATCATGGCGCCAGACATGGAAGACAGGCCTCTGATGCCGGCCTGGGAGACCGTTCCCATGATGCCTCCCTCTCTGTCCATGCCAAGTATCTTTCGGAGGAGTTCGCTCTTCGCGGCATGTGTTCTTGCCTGGTTCTGAAGCATCGGTTGGGGAAATAGTGGTGGATGCAGCCAGCCTTCGAGAAGGGTCAAGGCGTCGTATGGCGTAAGCCAAACAATGATGTCCCAGAGGGTCTGACCGGCGCGGGAGAGCAGGGTGGTCGGAAGAGCAGATGCGCCGAAGATGGAGTAAAGCGCAGTGAAGACGAGTGCCAAAAGGGAGACCACGACGCTCGGCTCGTTCAGCCTGGTCCAGAAGCTCTGGTTGCTATAGTGTTGGTATTGCCGGTAAGGATCAGGTCCGTCGTAGAGATCCTTATATCTCGAGCCCTGCGAATTCATACTGCTAAGGGTTTGGCGGGAGTGTGTTTGTTGCTAATAAGGTAGTTGGCGTGACAAGAAACGAAACGAGCAGCTTTAAGCAAGCTTGAGCGACACAGAGACCAAAAAGCCGGGTGCTGCCATGTCGGGGATGATTAATCGCAGGGGTTGACTAGGGGGGCGATGAGTCGCGAATTAGGAAGTGGTGGGCGCAGCTTGTGTGATCAAAGAAAGTAAAGGCTCAGGAATGTCTAGATTTCTGCACGGTTAGACGGTTGGTTGGAGAGAGAGAGGGAGGTGTCCGCACAGTTCCACGGGTCGTTAAGCAGAGGCGATGAGCGGGACCAAGGGTTCCACCAGGGGCAAACTCTCTGACAAGGATTGGTCGGTGCGTAACGTGCTGAGATGCAAGGCTTGTGATTGTCCCCGCTCTTATCGAGATAGGATAAGAATTTCTGGTCCGATAAGGAATTTTCTTGATATCCCCCACAATGAACCCGACCGCTGATGCTACACCTACCTGCATCACCAGAACGAAACGAAACAATCTGTCGCAAAGATGGCAAAGCCGAGCGTTTCTAAGAAGAGCAGACGTAAGAAACATTCTCTGTGCTTGCAGCGACGGGTCTAACTTTGCAACCAGAACCCTCAAAGCACTCGAGAGCTGCGAGGCGCGCGACAGATGTCGACATCGACACCGACAAGTCTCTCAAGAATGTCAAACCCCCCTCAGAAGCGGTCGATCGGCCGTCAGTCCTGGCCGCCAAACACAACTCGGGTGTTTCCAAGAGGACGAGCCACCGCAAGTCGCAGCTAAGCGCCAAGGCCAAGAAGAGGAACGAGAGGGCCATGGACCGCGCCGAGGCCATCATGGACAGGACCGCCAACAAGGTTGAGAAGAGCAAGAAATCGTCGCGTCTGATCCAGGAGCGCAGCAAAGATTGGGACAACGTCAACAAGAACAGTTTTGTCCGAAAGAAGTTCCCCGACGAGGAGGATCTGGACAAGGAGGAGAGGAAACAGAGAAAGCAGGTCGTCGCTGAGAAGGAATGGGAGACAGACGAGGAGATGGATGGTGCTGATGAGGGGGATGCGCCAGCCGTCGACGCTGTGCAGGCGCCACCGCCGCCGCAAAACGACGACTTCGACGAGGAGATTCTCTAGTTTTGCCGTTACTCGCTTCACATCGGATTGCTCCAAAAGAGGGGTCTTGTTGGACTGCGCCTCTGGCAGGGCTATGAGACTTATGATAGATACCCTAATGATGTTGGTTCAGATCATCCAATGACTAGTCCTAAGCGTCTGCACGATATCGAGATCATAACCGTGCTTGAAGGGTTCAGATCTTAGCTGCACCGATTTCGTCCCAGTGCTCGCATTTGAAGTCTACCTTATTAAGGTAGTAAGTACACCACCCGGTGGTGTCATCGCTGCAGCGCTGAGCTCCACCAAAAGCCACTAAACTTACAGGGCCCCCAGCAGGGAAACGCTTCTGCAGGTCCGTCCCGTCCCCAGCCTCTCGGTCCAATGCAGCCCAGGGTGCTGCTCCCATCAAAGCAACCCGACTCGAAGATCGATTTTTCAACGTCACCTCTTCAACCTCATCCTTCCATCTAACCATCAGCCAGCATGCCGCCCAAGCGCATGACAGCGAACCCCGTCAAGCCGGCGCGCTACCGCGCCGGCAAGCCCGCGGCACCGGAAGCCGACTCTTCAGACTCGGACGCCAGCGACGACGAGACCGAGACCGCGCCCAAGAGCAAAACCATCCCGCCGCCCCCCAAAGCCGCGAGCGCAGCCAAAATCGCCAGCAATCTCGGCAAGGTCAACCTCGACGAGCGCAGGCGCCAGGCACAGGAGCTGGAGGATCGTAGGATAGCACGAGAAAAGGCCGAACGTCTCGCCGCCGAGGAAGGCTTTGTGACGGAAGAGGAAGAGGAGGCAGAAGGCGGCGATGACGATGAGGAGGAGGAAGAGAGCTCGAGCGAAGAGGAGAGCAGCAGCGAGGAAGAAGCGCCCCGCCGCCTCATGATCCGACCAAAGTTCATCCCCAAGAACCAACGCGACGCGGCCAAGGACCCGTCAGGCGCAGCAGCCAAGGACGAAGAAGCGCGTTACGCAGAGGAGGAGGCGCGCCGCAAAGCGGCTGCCGACGCGCTGGTCGAGGAGCAGATCAAGAAGGACCTCGCCGCGCGCGCGGCGGGCAAGAAACACTGGGACGATGAGGAGGCCGAGGGCTCTGACGTGGACACGACGGACGATCTGGATCCGGAGGCAGAACTCGCCGCCTGGAAGATTCGTGAGCTTAAGCGCATCAAGCGCGAGCGCGATCGCATTGCGGAGCAGGAGGCCGAGTACGCGGAGCGTGAGCGCCGGCAGAACCTCACGCAGGAGGAGCGCGACGCCGAGGACGCTGCGAAGATCGCCAAGCAACAGGAGGAGAAGGACGGCCGTGGCAAAATGTCGTACCTTCAAAAGTACTATCACAAGGGTGCCTTTTACAGCGAAGAGGCGAAGGCCTATGGGCTGGACAAGCGTGATCTCATGGGCATGCGGATCGCGGATGATATCAAGGATCGGAGTGCGCTGCCTGAGTACCTGCAGAAGCGTGACATGACGAAGCTTGGCAGGAAGGGCGCGACGAAGTACAAGGATCTCAAGAGCGAGGACACGGGACGGTGGGGAGAGTTTGACGACCATCGTGGTCGCGACAGGAGAGGTTTCGACAGATACGGCGTGGACGAGCGCTTCCAGCCGGATGCTGATCGCAGTGGACAGGGGGCCAACGCTATACCACTGGGTGATCGCAAGACGCCTGGCAGGCCGGGTGGTCCGGATGGCCACAGAGGGGACCGTTCTCGGGATGAGGACAGATATCGGGATCGTGGCAGCGATCGCAGGGATAGAGATGACGATAGGTATCGTTCCCGGGATGATTACCGTCGCAGGGACAGGTCGAGATCGAGATCGCCGCGGCGAGACTCACGAGATGACTACAGGGATCGGAGGAAACGAAGCCCTTCCCGCGAGAGATATGACAGCGACAAGCGGCGGCGCGTGGATTCGAGCTAAGGCCGTCCCTCAAATTGTATCAGAGTGTATCCTAACCAGGCTCACCAAGGAGCGATGCTGAATATACCCGAACTCCTAATAAACCCTTGCCGCCTTCGTACATGTAGAAGCATCATTCATGTCATGCTCAGATTTTCTTGACCTCCACACGCGCGCGATCAAAGATACCATGGCTTACCATGGTTTCTGATGATGTGTCGACCTTTGGTGGGAACAGCGTCAAGCGCGCATACGTGCCTGCGCCTCGCCTTTTGGACAGATAGCCTGGGTTGATTACGAGCACGCTCTCGACGACCTAGGAAACGTTAGCAAAAGGCACGGAAGTGTGCAGGGGTATGGCATACCTTTGCGAACGGCGGGAGGAAACTGGGGACAATCAAAACATCAGGGCGAACGTTTACCATCTCGCCGAGCTTAAGGTAGCTGAGATCCAGCATGGCGCCTGGTGGCATGCCCTCCTCTGTGCCTGTCTTGGGCAATTTTTTACGGTCTGTGGGTGGGAAGAGCGGGAAGAAGTGCCTCTGCTCGAGTAGATGCCGGGAAAGTCTTGAGAGGGGGTTGGTGTCTGATGGGCGTGCTGCAAGTTCCTCGTGCTTCAGCTGCCAGAGAATATCCTGGGAAGAAATGCCCATGACCATTTCGTTCATTGACAAGGTCATGGGGTTGGTGACGATTCTTGCTGTCTTTGGAAGGCCAAGGTCCTTCTTCAAGACAGAGTCTTGAGGCCATGAGACGTGCTTGTCGATGACATCTCGCACCGAGGGGATCAGGAGAATGGTGATACTAGGGTTCGCCGAGACGAGACGGTTAAGTGCAGGGGAGAAAAGGTACTTGAAGACAGTGGACATCGTGGCGGTGTCTGGGTCGATGACGGCTTCCTCGGGAAGGTCGAAGTCGCCAATGGCAATCAGAGGATGTTCACTGTCAATGAACGGTCCAGTGAGAACCAGAGCATCGGCATACGTATCGGCCGCCTGGTCGCAGAGGGCATGCAGAGGCTCGAAATCGAGGTTATCATCTGCGGTGTAGGGCCCGGAAGCGTAGATGATGTTGAGCGGTGCAGGGTCCGAGTCGGTGTCCATGGCGTCTGGGTCTCCTCGCAGCTTTTCACGGTGTGCAGCCAATGTAGCAGGCGTCGAGGCGGCATTGGGAAGGAGGGGCACTTCAAGAACTTCCTCGACGAGGAATTCATTGCCGGAGGTGTTGATACCCTTCAATGCCACGATCTGACCAGGGAAAAAGCTGAAGCCCTTCTTGACACTGCGCATGTTCAACGAGACTCGTTGACCGCCACCCATCCGCCTCGAGAGCTCCAGTACCAGCGACGCTGCGTTCAGCTTTCCCTCCGGCGCATCGGACGCAATGCGACCGACAGCAATTACAGCCGTAGTGCTCTGAGATGCCGCATTACCAAACTCCGAAAGATCAAGCTTGTGGTACTCTTGGACGATACCCATGAACTCGTCTATCCTGTCGTCGAGAATCTCTGACGCTTCAGACAGCTTCATAGCAAGGGGCTTGTACGCAAGCTTCTTTTGGTCTGATGCGGCCGTCAACTTGATGCGGGGTTCGGAATAAGGGCAGATTGGGACTTCGGGGGCGTTGAGGTGGTCGTTTAGCACTTCAATCGTATCGCCGGCATTCTGTCTGTCGTTGAAGGAACTCGGGCTGCAGGAACTTGTTAGCTCTTGCTGATTGCGGTCCTCCTGAAGCTCCCACTTACGACTGCATAGAACTGAGTTGGTCCTCCATCTTCGACGACCCCTTGTAGTCCGGAGAACTAGACGGAATCTCTGCCTTGATCCTTGACATGGTTGGTGTCTCCTTCTTCCGCAAACTGCTCGGCTTGTTCAACCTCCCAGACGACGGCGTGCTGGGCACCAAGCCATCCAGCATGCCGAACACATCCCCGCCTCTCGCCCTAGGGGTACCGTGTGCGCGCTTCTCGGTCTTGATGTGTGTCTGTTGTTTGTTGGCCCTCTCCAATGCGTCCTGGAGATATTTCTTGAAGTTGCGCATAGGGCTTATCTGGGGGTTCATGGCGTCTATGTCCATCTTGATGCAGTACGACTCCCATTTGTAGAAGAGGTCCTCGGCGGAAAGCTCATGCAAGCGCATGATGGACTGCAGTTCAGACAGGACATCGGGCTCGAGGCCCTTGTCCCCAGTGGTGAAGAGCTGCTTGAGCTCGGCTTCGGCCATGGCGTTGGTTGTGATCGTGCACTGCTGTTCCCGGTGTTTGCTTGTCAATTGGCGAGCTTCTGGAGGAAAGACGGACAATCTTGGGCGACGCGTTGAGCGCGTCGCTCGTAAGGATAGCGCGTAAAGTGCATGGTGCGGGGCACATACAGTGCGCAACTACTCTCTGCACGGTCGTGGAGCCCCTACCCCAGTGTTATGTTGATTCAATTATTTACACCACGGTCACTTGCACCAATCCAATGCTGAACTTTCAGGGTTTTCTTTTTCAGAATCTGTGATCTTATTGGCCGTTCTTGATGTCAATAGCTATGCTAAGAAAATAAATGAAGGCATCTCCATTCCAAAGCAACTCTCATAAGCCATAGGGCGCAATGTTCTAGTGAAGTCCACACCCATTCCTCCGTTGTAAGGCATCCATCCAATTACCAGACTGGGTTTCGTACCCGAAGCTCTTGACGCTCTGCTTCCTGCTTCGCCATGAGATCCTCCGTAGCTTTCTTAGCCTGCTGAGGACCGAATTTGATGATGGCCTCAGTACTGACTTCGTACCGGATGGTATTATCCTCGTTCTTGCCGACGACATCGGCCATGCCTCCAGTGAGCTGGTCAAGGTAGACCCGGTAGTTCTCCGAGTACCGAATTTGGCAGCGGTTCGTCTCCGACTCGGAGTGAGCAGTCAAGGAAGACGCATCTTTGAACCACCGCAGGCAACCGGGGCACTGGAGCTTCGTAATGTTGTGCGAACCGGCCTTGAGGTGGCTGATCAACGTGGCTGCGGAACCGAAGTTCTTCCTGTTTCCCGTCAGTATTTACCTCGCCGTGTGCAGCAAGAGCAAATTTCTTACGAGCAAGATCCATGGGGGCACTTGAACTTGCGAGTGTACGGGTTGTGGTACTTCATGACGTCGAAGTTGGGGTGCTGAGGGTTGTGAACATCTTGGACCTTCGAGGCTCCTTGGGAACTTCCCAGACTCTCTGTCTTTGGAGTACTTGGGGCCGTAAGGTTCGTCGAAGCAACAGAGTCCTCTTGAGCAGAGCTTCCTTGGGTAGAGCTTCCCTGGATAGAGGCTCCGTCGGCCTCCTGAATCGCAGGGAAATCTTCGGGTCTGAAGAAAGACGGGTGTGCCATCTGCGGCTTGGAGATGTTGCTCATAGCCGACTGTTGAACACTCGGATGGAGCCTCGGAAAATAGTCGCCGAACTGCGAACCGCTCCGCTTCTCGAGCTCATGAGCGAAAGTGAGCTTCTCGGCTCTGTTTCTGTCCACGTCCGAACGGCGGATCTCAGGGCACTCGTCGTGCTCCAAGTGCTTCATGAATCCAGCCAGACGTGTGAAGCGGCTGCCACATCCGGGGCAAATGATGTTCTGCTCATGAGGATGGGACTATGGTTTCACATTAGTCGGCACTTCAACAACATGGAGTTCTTGGTGGCCGCAACACCTTCCATAGGAGAAGTGCTGTTGGTCTTTTGGGGCAGAACCAGGGGCAATTGGGCTTACCTCGATCATGTGCTGTTTCTGGGCGTCCATGGTCCTGAACTCCATGGCACAGACGGTGCAGTGGGCGTGGGTGCCTCGAATTTGCATAGCCCACAGCTTATGCTTGATCAGAGACGCCTCATCGTCGAAGAGCTCATTGCAGGTACGGCACAGGATCGCCTTGTGAGGCGGTACCTTGAGCTTCTGCTTCGTGCCACCGATCGTGGCTGCCTGGGATACGGATCTGATCGAGGCACTGCTGACAGACATCTTGGGCAATCAGGAGGTTGATGGGCAAGCTGGTGAGTGTGCGTCGTTGGTGATAATGAATCTTGAGACGATGTGAAGATCGAAAATGGGTCTCAAAGTCGTAGGGCAGGTGGCTCCGCGGTAACGCAGTTGGAGAACAACAGTTGCCTGGTGGCAAGAATCTGAAAGTGAAGTAAACCTGGCTGTAATAAAGAGTAAAATCCCGATCTTGAAAATGCTCTGAGAGTAGATGACCAGTGACGCGGATTATTTGTGTTGGAAGGGGGAAGTTATGGGAGGAAGAGGACAGGAGCGTTTTGATGCGGTGGTGCCCAAAGTAACGGATATTCGAGGCAGGCAGCAGAAGAAGTTTAGGAAGGCAGAGCTCACCTGAGGGAAGGAAGTTGAGAGGCGCTGCTTTCTGCGGTAGGCACCTGCCGATATTTGGGAGGCAAGAGCAACCGGTGCGTGCGAGTTGTGAAGGAGGCAAGAAGCTACACACCTTGTGGAAGGGAAATTTGTCTTGCTGGTGTTCTCGGGAACCGAGCGGATTGGAAATATTCTCGGATGGGGCCTTCCCAGGTTGGCGAGTGAATGGGTATATTCGGTACCCTGAAGACAAAACAGTGAGTTTCAAAAAGGCTGGCAGCTGTCGATTATTGATTAATGGGTGCCTTAGAAATCGACATTGCTGTCATGTCGGTGGGGTTAAAAGACACAACGTGTGGTTGATAGACTGGCTTCTCGTCTCTCTGTTTTGATTTCTCGTCCCAGTAATGCTGAAATGAGGTCGGCGTAGAAAAGCACAGCCAGAAAGAGCACAAGGGCAATCATGATCCAATCTCAGGGTACTTCTTCAGTGGTTACAAAATATGCTCTACTTCCAAATAATAACAACAATCACTCTTTCTCATTAACTTGATATCTTGCTAAGCAAGGTTCATTCCTGTACAAACGGCTACCTAGTTTGCTGCTGAGAAGGCCGCAAGTTTAACCACCCTTCAACAGGTTAAAACAAGCTCACACGGATTCATGCAGTTCTACAGCTGCGTCTTTGTAATGTTCACAAACAGAACTTCAACAAGGAAGCTCCAGAGACCAGAAGTCTACAGGAGACTGAGACAACTGGTAGTTCAGCGACCAACAGTAAGTAAGCAGCATATTTCTTCGCGGCGTAAGCGACCCAACCAGCTGGAAGCACGACGTGAGGTGAGGTCATATGCGAGCCAAGACGCCTGTCAGATTTCAAAATACTCTCCGCAGAGACGTTTGAGTATACTTTCGGGGCTTCAATTTCGCCCGGAAGGGATTGTAAGCGAGATGTTGTGCCGGTTCATCGCAGTAGCTCGTCATTTCGATTCGATGACGGTCAAGCTTGTCGAAACTCTAGACCCTAATGTTCCTGATCAGACCAAGAAGACGCAAGAAACCTCGCCATTCCAACTGAAGGCCATCTTCCAACTCACGTGAAGCGATCTGCCCGTGGGGGCTGGGAAGAAAGACATGAGAAAACCTTGTGCCCCTCGGTCCTCAGAATGTCTCGACGTGAAGATCACGCAAAGCCAATGTCTCATTCGCCCCGATATATCAGGACGTCGTTCGCATGGCTGCCAGGTTGGTATGGTCATGATGCTAGACTTGTCTCGGTTCATAGGGATCTAGGCGTTCGATGGCCTATTAGAAACCAACGTCCATTCCCAGCCATCCATTCCCGTTTCCTTGATTATGCACGTTCCGACCCCCTGACATCAGTCATCCGTAACGTCAACACCCCGCTGTCTCAGACACCCTGACGTCTAGCTGGTAATTATGTCGAGAAAATGAACGGCCGCTACAGTTCCATGGCAGCGATGCATAGCACTCTGCCTGGGTGGGGTGTGGGCATCGAGCCTCAAAAGGCCGATCTGCCGCATTTACAGCGGAAAGTCCTCGCAGTCCTGATGAATTTTCATGCCAAGGACCGACTGGGACAAGAGAAACACATCCGGCGCTAGATGCGCAAGCTTCCAGAGTACTCATCAAGCCTTGATAATCTATCAAAGACCGCCCCAGCCTCCCACGATGGTTTGAATCATAGGCCCTTCCACGGGACGGAAATTGACGAGACGGCATAGTGAGACACTGCAACGCCGCCATCGCCGACATCATACAAAAAGTCCAAGATTCAGCTCGCCCCGATCTCCAGGTGTCTTCCAAATCTACCTTATTCAGAAAGTATCGGGGATAAAAAAAAAGTTGCTTCCGATTTGCTACGTCTCCGACTTCGCGCCGACGTCTTTCAACACCGAGAACAAAGAGAAACCTCCGTACTAGAACCGCCGTGGCGTGCGTGCTGACGATTTCTTTCCGAATCGGATCGCGTTGCCCTTTCAACAGTTGAGAGGGAGGCCCCATCTAGACCTGAATCTGCAAAGGCCTGGACGTTTGGTCTTCGTCCCGCTCGCGCCGGCAGGACCGTCTCCTCGGGTCGTCAGCCACATCGAGAACAACTCGGCGCTTGTACTCGCCGAATCACCTCGTCTTACCATCGGAAGAATACTAAAAAGTCTTCGTTGCCCTGACTGCGAAGTTTCTGAAGCCGACGGGTCCTGCTTTTTCTTCTCTTTAGTGGAACCAAGGAGAGAAAACGGAGATCATCACAAGGCGTTGCCCACCAACCGCATCTACTCCCACTTACAAGCTACCTTCGGAACAGTTCCGCTTTGAGACTATCCACGAGTCTCTGATCCTACTTCTATACTTCTGATTGTTAGATCCTTTCTCGAATAGAGAAAAAAAGAACCTTCACGATGTCTTCCACATTCTCCCACAAACTCAAGAGCGAGGCAATGGCTTGCCAGAAGACCGAGATGCCGCTCCCTCTCATCCCCCTCGTCTTCGTCGCACACTTCGCTCACACCGTGGTCACCGTCCTCACAAAGGAAGCCCGGCGTAAATCGGCCGCCATCGCAAACCAATTCGACTCCCTCCGCCTGCAGGTCCGCGGGCCTGAGCACTCCTTCGCCCCCTTCTCGAGGCTGCCCCCCGAGCTCCGCCTCAAGATCTGGAACCTCGCCATCGAGCCGCGTACGCTCACGGCGACGCACGCGCCCAACCCGACGCTTCTGTCGGTCAACTGCGAGGCGAGACACGAGGCGTTGAGGAGATATAATCTGGTCAGACTGAACACCTGGGGAGACCGCAGGATCTACATCGACTTCCAGCGCGACAGCATCGCCGTGGTCGAGGGAAAGGGCGGCGGCGGTTTTCCTGTTCGCGGAGCGAGACACGTTGTCGTTGTCTGCGAAGAGCCGTTCCAGAACCCCGCTTCATGGCTCAAGTGCCGGTACCGCTCGGGTCTGGACTCCGTCACGCTTGTTCTCGGCGGTGCGACGAGATCAGATCTGGTGCCGTTCCCTGAGATTCATCTGCTTGGTACACCAAAGGATACGCAAGGCCGGCTCGGATTCTCTGATGAGGAGGTTGACAGGATAGAGGGTGAGCTCAGAGACCTAGCTCAAGGGTGGGGAAGCACTGAAGTCCGCGTCGGAGAATTCGTATAAAGGAGAAGTAACGGAGGAACATGTTCGAACTAGGGAGGCGTACTGTTTACTGAGAGCGACCAGAATACCCCTTTTCTTTTGTCACAATCTCCTCCTCTTCTCATAGAATACTCATTATCACACAATATACAGAACAGTCCTAATCTCACAGCCTGCTACGCTCGTTGCCCAAGTAGGCGCCACCAAGCTTCAACATGTCAACCGCCTCCTTAACCATCTCATCAACGATCTCACCCGCTGGCTGGATCTTCTCAATAGCGCCGGCCACTTGCCCCATCAGATGTGGCGGATCAACGTCGTTGCCCTCGTTGAAGTCGAATTCAATAGGCACGATACCCTGATCGCAAAGCTGCCTGATCCGATCCGGCTGCGAATGCCATTTGCGAATATACTCATTCGTCTTCATGCGCAATGGCCTTCCAGAGAGTACGAGAGTGCGTTCCGTTCCCTCGAACCCACACTTGACGACTTCTTCCTTGTGCTCCTCACTACACCCAGCCTCAACAGATGCCACAAAACGTGTGCCAACCCACACGCCAACAGCGCCCTGCATCAACGAGCTCGCAAGTGACCGGCCATTGTAAATACCACCCGCTGCAACAACCATCGCCGGGGCGCCATTCAGCATCTTGGGCTTGTACCTCCTCGCAACGTCCACGACGGCAGGGATGAGCACCGAGTTAGCCACATCGCCCGTGTGTCCACCACCCTCGCCGCCCTGCGCGCAGATGATATCGACGCCTAGATCCAGTGCCTTCACAGCATGCTTCGGGTGGCCGACCATATTCATGACGTAAATGCCCGCGTTGTGCAGCTTGTCAATGACATGCTTGGGCGGCACGCCAACGGCGCTGACGAAGAGACGAGCGCCCGACTCAATGGTGATGTCGATGAGCTCGTCGAGCTTGCCGCCCGTGTAATCGTGATTGGTCTTGCGGGCGTTGCCGCCGACTTGCGGCAGGGCGAGATCGACGCCGAAGGGGAGGTCTGGAGACTTGAAGTTCTCCTTCATCTCGGCGACAATCTCGCGCAGCTGGTCCGGGGTGTACTGGAAACCGCCGATGACGCCGAGGCCGCCCGCGTTGGAAACGGCAGCGGCGAGGGGCCCGCCGGACGTGCGTGCCATGCCGGCGAGGAGGATGGGATGCTTGATCCCTAGAAGGGTGGTTATGGGCGTGGTGATTGGGCCTGAAGGTGCCATCTTATTTTGTGTAGCTGGGTGAATCCGATCTGCTGCAAATGAGATGTAGAGAGGATCAAGCAAAGTGAAGAAGTACTGATTAGATAAAGTAGGGTATGGTCTAGTGTAGGAAAATCAAGGGATGAGAAATATGAACCAAGAAGAAAGCAAGATCGAGAGATCGAGAAAGATCGAGAAATTTGGAACTTCAATACATCACTTGATATGCGGTTGGAGAGCAAGCTACCTAGGTAATCCGGGGAAATCATACCGGGAGGTGAGTGTGTGGGGTTGGGAGC